TGTGGTGGCTGATTAGAGTATATTTCTCAGTTATTCATGGATGCACTTTACTACTTACTAAATGCATCTAATCTAATTCTCCATCATGGAATTATTACCTACTATTAAGGTGAATGGCATGCCACCAATTTTCCTCCTGTTAGTGATTTTTCCTACATTTCCCCAAATAGCTTGCAACACCGTCTGAGAAAGTGAAGTGGAGCCAGAAAGAGTCACTTTTCCATGTTTTTCAAGTCAAGTTCAGAAAAAGCTGTTTGCCTCAAACTCAAAACATATTGCATTGCATTGTGGTTCTGTTTTTGCTACGATGGTTTCTCTCTGATTGCTTAGCATCAGTAGAAAGTGATAAATCCAATTAAAAAAAGCACTGGGACCTTGAAGCCACATAGTGATGTTTACTGATGAGAAAAATCGATTCTTCTCTGTGTAGCTGACAAAAACATAAGGTGTTACATAGTCTACGGTTGAAAGGTTGAGTCACAAACAACACAGTGGATTCAGAAATGCAATGTTAGTTTAAATAGTGGCTGCGTATTATTTCTAACATTTTGCTTGGATACTACACAATTCAAAACCACTGAACTGCAGAATCAGACAGGGTAACTGAATATCTTTCTGCTGTTGTTTTTTTTTCATTTAAGATTTTCTAGGCTTTGCACACGGTGATGACTAAATCTGGCAAAATCTAACCATACAATGATCTGTGCCTCTGTCTGTCATACAGAGTGCATCTAAATTGACTATTATAATGGAGGAGCAGGGATAAAGGATTGAAGATATGCTGCAGACTTGAATTTAAATCCATCAGGACTTCATCTAAATCTTATCACGAGCACTGAGCAGCAGAGACCCTTCTGAGAAAACTATGTGTGTTCCAACACTGACAAAAGCGCAACACGGGGGTAGCAGGAGCGGTGCTACTATCCCATATTATCAAGTAGGAATTATCTCCGCAAAATATCAGCCGCATGAACATTTGAAAGCGAAACATTTTGTCAGAGCCGCTGCCGAGGTGTGACAATGGAGCTATGGGTACAGCTCCTGCTTCCTGAAATCACAAGGGATTAGGAAAGTGATCACGACTCTGCCAGTAGCATCTAAACACAACCTGCCTCACTCGGTCACACTTTGTTCCTGTTTGACTGTCACTATGACGACTGGCTCTTTTGCCAGACCTTGACTTTTTTGTCATGATAATCGAGCCAAAAAAAAACGTGCAACATGCCGCCCCGACACCTCTCCCACCGGCTTCATACTCGACAAATTGACCCACTTCTCTCGCGTCTGCTCTTCTATCCAGAGTGTGTTTTGCAGGCTAGGAAACAAATCATGTGCGGTCTGATCCATCAGGCCTCCTGCTGATTTGGGCTGCCGACATGATTGCTCGGCCCATTACAGGCAGCAGCTAGACAGTGGTCGTAAGCCAGATCACACAGATAGACTGCAGGTTTACGCTGACTGCTCATAGCCTCAGATGTTGACACTGAAGAGTGTGTTTTGTCCTCATTACTTTGTTTCTCTTGGTTCTCCTTAGTCACACTCTGGGGTTAGGTCCTCTCATAACACGCTTGCTTCTTTAAATATGACTGCAGCCTCAGCCATCATATTGGCAGAAACTCATTATATCTGCTGTCATTTTGAAAACCTGCGACAAAAAGAACCTAAACAAGGCCGGGGTTAATTGCATGATGTCTTTAAATTACAGTCCTGTCCCCAATTTAAGCCTGATCCTCCTCCACACCTGGCATTCAGCAGCAGCGTCTCACCTGTACTTTCTGCATTCACCAAGCAAAAAGATGAGTTACAAAAAAAACCTCCTTCATGCATTTGTTCTAGTTAATTACAGGCCTATCAGAAGCACAACTATTCCATCAGCATGAGCCCGGAGGCACCTTTGCTTCCTCAGCAATTAAAAAAAGCCTATTTTGAGGTACTTGATAACATTGTTTGTTCGAAAGAAATGAGAGGAAAATTGCACATAATCTCCCACTAGATCCTTGGATTTGTTTCACGTTGGATCATGCGTTCTGTTTGGACTGTAGCGCTGCTGTGAAGAGTTTATTTTTCTCAACTTTGGACTTCAAATTCACTGATACATCCCGATGCTTTCAAATGCAGTAATTGGCTGTTTTAACAGCCCACTTGCTGACCCTTAACAGTGGCAGACGTGCTCCTCCACTCAGCGTGATGTCTCCGCTTCTGACTGTAATCCAATTTATTGTTTTAAGCATAGCACCGGACTCCACAACTATACAAGAGGCAAGTGTAAGGAAAAGAAAAAAGAACTAGGCTTTTGTTCAGATATTCGGAGCTGCAAAAAACTGCCCATTTTGAACTAGATGGACTTTCAGGGCAATAAACAGGCGGCCGACCTGAGCTCTCCTGGTCACTGGGCCAAAGCTAATGGTTAAATGAGATGTGTACATGGAGAGGGTTCAGAGTCTTCTATTTACTCTACTCCAGTTCAAATGGGTTCTCTCGTGGAGCACTGTTGTGGTTTTCGAGAGGTTATGATAGGGCGACGCAAAAGAGCCACGGGGACGCGTAGTGCTTTGGATGTTGCCATGGCAATGTGGCTCAATCAAGAGTGAGATGCCGTCAGCTTTGTGTAAAATGCAGTATGCCGAATATTATCTCTGAGACATTTTCAGCAATATAGTCTATTTGGCAGCGCATTAAAAAGCTGACTACTCAAAGATTGTCAGTGTGTGGAACGTTTCCCATTAAGAGCCTTCATTTATTGCACTGTGCAAGAGAAAATGTCTTAATTTAAGCACCTAAGTGGTTTTAAATGTCTTGCCGTATTTACAGCGATGAAGAACATTAGTCTGTATTGCGGTATGGTGACACTTAAAAGTCAAAATAATGGACAGTAAAAACGTTTTTAAAAAAAGACCTCATCTCCACCTTACCCTTCTCTAAACCCCACAAGACAAATGCTAAATAAAGTAATGAGTCAGTGTGTTGCTCACAGATTACCGCTTCTCAATACATTAGTGAGACGAGTACTTGGGCTGTCCCCTAAAAGCAGATGTGTTGAATCATCTGCCAAAGACCAATCAGTCAACTGAGATTCATTGAGCAGCCTTTTTTATTTTTTTTTGTCAGCATACTACAAAGTGACAGAAGAAACAGATAGAAGCTCATGAAAATGTATGAGGGTAGTATTCTAATGAGGCAGCGGTGTGAAGGCTCACGCATACTCACAAATGTATTCAGATGTAGACAGGTGCATTGGAGGGAAACTTTTTTCTGTTCATGTCTTGTGGGATTCTAGGAAATCTTCTACAACATGTTTTGTATCCATCTTCTACTATTTCTATTCTACTTTAAGATCCACCATTACGGCGACATTTTTTTAAATATTTACTGTCATTGTGGAAGAGATGATTTCATGAACTGACTTCAGCTTCATTGTTTTATAAGGTGCATACTGATGTGCAGTAGTTTTGATGATGTGCTGTGACTTCTAATTGGCTAAATCTATAAAGCCTGTGGAAATGATCAGCTGACGGCTTGTAGCCCCTGGTTGGCCTCAGCTGATGGCGTGGTGGCTGTATTTTTCTGACATGTTCAAGAGGCTGAAACACAATTTCAGGAAGGTTTATTGCAAGTAAAAGGGCAGTGCAGAGAAGTTGAAACTGAAGGTGGAGTGGTTAACTGTAAGCATGTCCCAGAAGAAGTCCAAAGTGTGGTGGCATTTCAGATTTCTGAAGGACAACTTAAACTCTATAAGCAAGCACAACTCAGAGGAGTCATGGGTCTCTTGGTGGCCTCTGTCACTCAACTTCACTCAGTGATTTCCATTTCACTAATTTTGTGGCCTCCAGCATGAACTGGCTGCACCTGCTTTGAATCAGGTAAGGGTGGTGAATACTTAATCATTTATTTTACATTTTTAATTAATTGACATTACTTTGTAGAAATCTGTATTCACTTTAGCGTTATAGTCTCTTTTTTTTTTTGTAAATTCTTGTCCAAAAAGCTAAATTAAATTTAACCAGAATTCAAGGTTGAAAAGCTGTCAAAGAGACAGACATCCAAGAAACAAGGCTGCACTATCAAACATGGCAAACCACTTAAAACAAGTCATTTGGAGTCAGCTAATTCAGAGCAGGCAAGCAGGCAATGCTGCAATTTCCAAGTGTTTCATGTGTTTGTTTGTTTACAGATTGCTTTGTATGTTATTACTTAAAAAAAGGTTTTAAGAGTTGGATTAAAACAGAAAGACGCGCAATAACTGCTTCATCCATATGGTAGCCAATATGCAATATGACAGCATTACAAAAAAGCAGCAACTCTAATCTTGCACCCTAAGCAGGTGTTTTTTATTTATTTTCAAATGCTCAAAAACATATTCCCTTGACTCGTTTGTATTTGCTAATGTGATCAAAATCATCAGTGATACTCATACCAATGGATATTCTGATTACCAGATAGTCTATATGAAAAGAAGGAATGAACAGTGAGATATAATGTTTCGCTGACAGAATTGGAGTCAGGTACAGCCCTAATGAGTATATTGAAAAGAGTTGCCTGTGGCAGTGTGATTATTACAAAAACTGGATTTGTGATATGAGCACTGGAGGTGAGAGAGTAATTCAAATTCACCTGAAATTCAAATCACCTGTGAACATTAAAAAAAGAATAAAAAGTTCTCTGCATAGGCTTTACTTTTTAGAAACCCTACCTGTGATGAATGTACAACACATGTTTAACCTTTGCACAGTCTTAAACCAGATTTTCTCAAGAGATTCAAGAGTGTGACTGAAAGTTCAGGGGCGGTAATAAATCAGCATGAAGGAGCCTGGTGGTTGGCCTGCAATAGAGTCCAAAGTCCGGTTGATAAAAGCCGGCGCTCACATTGATAAGCATACAAAAAATTTCAAACACATGCTTTGCTCTCACGTCACGATTGTCAGAATGCTTACACAGGCACACACATTTTAGCATATAAACATTAAAACCCATTTGCATAAAAAAAGACATTTAAAACTCACCATGTAGTCTGTGGGTGATTCTCTCTTTCCTAGATGCTGTCCCATGCTTCTAACAGAGACTGGAAGAAACACAAAGCATTAGTTTACACACCAGGAGACACTCTAAACAGTATATTATTTGAAGATGACAAGTCCACCTTATCTCTGCAAGACTGGATCGCTCCTGATCGTAACTGCAGCATCGCACACAGCAGTAGAAACACTGGGATATTCCCTTGTCTTTTTGAGCTCTTTTGTGCTGAATGATGGCAGTGAAAATTGGAACGTATATTAAAAATCCTATAGCTGTACTATTTCTGACGTCGAACACTGCTATCACATTCCTTGATAATGGAGCACCATTGCTCTCCATCAGTCTCCCCACTGTGGTGTCCGTGCAGGTCTCCACACCCACAGATCTCCCTTATGGATGCTGTGGTTAGTGGGGACTGATGGTTGCCCTTGCAAGATGGGCTTTGCAAGTCTAAAAACATCCACGGCTTTGTGTTCCCCATCACCTCTACTCAGGTGACACATTCCAAAAGCCTGTTTTGAGACCAGATGGACTTGATGTTGGGGTGTGTGCGGAGGCAACTACTGGGTCCAATGATAGCGAGACTCCTTTTATGCTTGTCTTTATTAAACAATCCGTCACTATAAATGATCTATTTATGCTTTCACACCTGAACCATGAGCTGCAAACAAATGTTTAGATGAATCTAAATCGGCATCATCAGCATCACAAGGACTCAAGCTAAGATGTTCCAGTGTATTGTTACAGCACACAGGGTTTCACACATATCTCTGAATTGTCTTGGCTTTACTATTTTTTTAAAAACAAAAGTGGCATCTAGTGCCATAACAACAGAGTGGGAGAGTTACTCGAAGTACCTAATTCTCACTTAGGAATTATCAAGGTTCATGCCCACAAGCACAACAAGAACACTTGTAATTCAGTTGACTTTTCTGATATAACAGAGAAAACACTGCACCAACGCTGTGTTTCATTCGAGCTGGTTCACCTTCATCACTCTCGCATGCCCACAGAATCAGTCATGCCCCTGCTTCAAATGCACGGTCTATGTAAGCAGCCATGCTGTGGATTCTGGTAGCTCCACATCGGTCTAGACGACTTTATGCGAATCACTGGCGTCTTGCGTAACTAGCCACCTCTGAACCATTGTGGGTTTAAAATGAAGACAGACGTAGCAATGGCATGACCTATTTCACGCCTCAAATGTTTTCAGAAATACATTTTGGGGAACTATTTAGGAGAAAACTTCCAATTCGTTTGTCATGCTGATACGGTTTGTAATCTGGGAGCAGACAGACCCAGAGTAAAAGCATCCATCCAATCAGATGAAGCCAGTGCTCAGGTGCTTGTACGAGGGTGTGGTCAGCATGTTTTCTTTGTTGTCTAATGGCGCGTCTATCAAGCATCTGATGCCGAAAAGTGGTGTAACCTCTGTGGACACGCACCATTAGCCTACACACCCTCCCTGTTTGTGTTGTTGTCTTCTGTGTCTTCATCCATTTATTGCGATATTCTATGTAGAGGATCTGTTTTGTCCTGCTGTGTTACTGCTGCAGCGTAAAACACAGCCTGTCGCCAATTAGTAGCCACTTTATTAGTGCCACCTTTGAATCTGATTCAGTTCTCCGCAGCATATCGCTTTCTAAAAAATGAACATAGGCTTATTATTTTGTTCCGGAGTGCCTCAAATTAGACGCATCCTTGCCATTATCTGCAGCTCTGCCATCTGAAAGTACTCTGGTCATGGGGGAAAAAAAAGAAGCAATTGTTGCTTTATCCCAACAAAATGCTGCTTAATTGCCAGCTTTCATAATCCTCATTATTATACACATCCATTACCATAGCTTAGTTAATTGTGCAGCACTTAAAGGTGAGACTGTGACATTTATTCCTGTGTCACAACATCTATGCTTTCAACAGCTGTACATGCAACAGCTGCAGAAAGCAGACAGCAGAGTGAGTGACTATAGCGAATATGCTGCCATGAAGAGCACCAACGTGTCCTAAAAGGTAAACTCCCCTAAACGGAAGGAGAGCAGCGTAAGGAAGGATCCATTCTGTCTGTCTAGAGAAAGTGAGAAATGTTTGCAAAGTTCAGAACTCACAAACAACATCACACCAACTAAAACACAGGGAATTTTTTTACCAGATGGCTTGAATAACTCTATTTGAAAAGAATCAATCCTCCTAGAATGCAGAAGTTTTTATTGGATGCAGGTTACAGTAGAAGCTAGCTGAGTGGCTGTGCTCAGAGGAGCCTCTAGTCTCCCAACCCATTTTCTGTTGTGAGATCAAAAGTTACTCTGAAGATTTAAATAAGGCACAAGATTTACCCACCTTAAAACTATTTGATTTTACCTACATGGCCTGTTTTTATAAGAGTGAAACACACTTCAGTGCTGCTTTATATTCATTGCTAAATCAGGATTGTGATTCATATGACATTAATTTTGCAGCCCTACAATTCGAATCCATTTCTGCAACCAAATCTTCCTCGTCAGTCCTTCTCTCCTGTTTCTCACTCATTTTGCTGCCCATCATGCAGATATGGAATCTGCATGTCAGCAAACTGCATCTTGGAAATAATTTTCCTAAAAAAAACACTGTATATCCAAGAACCCATTATCAGAGTTGTGTCATGTGGTTCAGTTAAATCTGCGTAACTTAACATTGCACTTCCTGTGAACATTAGATATCGCATTGTCAATGCTGAAACGCTGTCTGGTGCAGCCCCACCGAGAACTACGCACTCGTGTAAATGGAAGAAATTAAACCCACTGACTGAAGCAAATACAAGCTGCCACTTCTGTCACTTACACATTTAAATGTCAAGCGAGAAAAGAAAGGCAAAACAAAATCAAAGAGCTGAATATCGAATCAAACTAAATTTCAGCCTGCACCCACCACGCAAGTAAAAACATCCTGTTTCCTGTCAAGGACCATTGTCCTCCACTTCTAGCTAATCATGGCTTACATTTTGGCATTTAAGATGGTTCTACAGCTACCAGAAAAGGCTTTCATCATCTTTGACACCTGGACTGTCACCCTCATTTGTCCATGATAGATTCTAGTTTTAAAGTTATTCATGCAACAATACAGTTAAAAATGTTTGGTAATTTGGTTTCTGGATGGTCTACTGACAGTCCAGACTTCTGACATTATGACTGGATTCACAGGCAAGAAAACACCACATATGAAAGCCAACTATATGTTTGTTTGTTTTTGTTTTTTAAACATCATTAATTCAAGAATGCAGTACATGTCAACTTGGTTATTTCAATTTCGAATGCACCGAACCTCTCACGTTCCCAGGTCAGTCGGTTGCAGGGATTAAAAAAATATGTTAATAAAGCCTTTAAATAATGACAAAACAAAATAATGGAATTTATATAATTTCACAGTTGAATTGTATGTTGGCACAAGTACAAATGAAAAAACACCTTGTTGTCTTTATGCAATGGTCGAGCCAGGTTAATTAAATGTGGGCCTCCTGTATGCCTGCAGTAAACAAAGATTATCTACTGACAGATGTTTTTACATCCATTTTCCTCAGAACAGGGAGTGCAGAGAAGTTCACTACAAGCAGCAGCTTCTCGGGAAGAAACAAGTGCAATTAAAATGCAATCATCTTGCAAAGTTCACCGTCTTGCATCATTATTGAGCATTGTGGCTCAAGGTAAGCAACTTGGCACCCAGTGGAACGCAATTTGCAAAGACATGCTAAAAGGCCATTTTTAACCATTAGAAACCCATCAAGGAACTGAAAAGTGAAATTGTTTGACTGTTTTTTTCTGAAAATCAGTCTCGTTATGAAATTATGTGCCGCTTCCTCTCCAAAGAAAAGCGCAGTAAAAACATAAGTTTGTTAGTGGGGGGAAATGTAGCTGTCTTGACTAACATTCAGCTAAAAATAATATATATGAGCACCAGAAAAAGTTGTAACCACACATGATAACTCTGCAAAGATACAACACTAAACATCAGCAAACAGATGCAAATTCGCTGGGGAACACAAATTAGGAACAATTTTCTTAATCGGTAATCATTAATTGAAAATGTATTAATCAATACAGCAAAAAAGAACTACAATGCATTAAATAGCTGCCCACAAAACTAATATTCTGGCAAACTGTCACGTAGGAACTTCTCATGGTGGCACTTGACCAGGTAAACTCCCACAATGCTTTCTGCTTGTCAACATGGAACTGGAACCAGGTACAACAGCTAATATGCAATATATTTTATGTTTTTATGATTATAATCAGTTAAATTATTGAGGGCAATTAATTCACTAGCATCCCTAAAACTGACAAACACAGCAACCGCACTCCTTGGGAGCTGTGTTTTTGGCTACCTTGGTGTTAACCCTCATCCAAGTCCTGGTTTGGCCTTCACCTGCTCCTTGGGCGTACTATCTGGCTCTTGGGAAGCTAAATTCACCATCTTTGGCACCATCTACCAACATCATGATACACTCTGTGCCTTTCTTTTTGTTAAAAAAAAAAACACTTTCTGATAAAAATTAAATGTTAAAGGATTCCGTGAGCTCCTTTAAATGACAGTATCAGTGAATCTGCTGTTCTATGCGAGCTGGTGTTTTCAGCAGCTGGACTGGACCATACAGAGAATAAATAGTGTCCTCCACACCCCAGTCATGCTGCTAATGTATACCTGACAAAAACCCGTGGACGTAGTGCTATTTGTTTAAGTATTGGAGCACACCTTTAACGTATGTATGCCTGTACAGTCAAGCTGTGACCTGTTTCTATGCTTATATAACCACAGCTCCAACGGTGGAACGTTAACAGACATTAGTCAGCTTTTACTGATCAAGAGATCAAATGTTAGACTGAATTTATAAAAAGTTGCAACTCATTTATTTATGAAAAGAACCAGTTAATACTCCCTTTTCAAGGATTATGTCCACATTTTCTCACATCTTAGAGCCCAATGAAGCCACCAGACTTTAGACCAGAAAAAAAATGTAAAGATATTTTTTTGCCTTTTCATCATGACTAGTTAATGTGTAGACTAGAGAAAAAACAG